TTATCTGATCATGTTATAAGCCTGCAGAAACAATTACGGGAAATAGAAAGACTGGTTTTAGGAACCAGAGCCCAAGGTCTTGGTGGAACAGTGCATGATATTAAGCCTGGTGATTATGTGTATGTGAAATCCTTTACAGATTCACCTCTGGAACCAAAGTGGGAGGGCCCCTTCCAGGTGCTGCTGACATCCCATACAGTGATCAAGATCAAGGAACAGATCTTGTGGGTATATCACACCAGAGTGAAGAAAGCTCTTAAGCCATGATGGGTATCGACACCTATGGGACCGCTGAATCTTTGCATCCAAAACATGATATGGGTTCTTATGACTCTGCTAACTGTAACATAGTGGATGCTTGGGAGTGGTCTTGGACAGATGCTTATTTTGGATATATGGGCATCATGGGAAAGAACCTATTAGGAATGAATTTGGCAACAGTTGTAATATATGGCAGCATGACATTCTGACCAAATAAATGGGCAAAGATAAAATTTGGTCCATATCTGGACGGTTGAAAAAGGAAAGGATGTCCAGATAGGTTGTAGGCTTTTCAATGCAAGTGGTATAAAAGATCCACCTCCCCCGACCCATATTACTATTAGGAAAATTTCCAGTGGGAAAATGGGACCCAATATAAGGCAAGAACAATGTGTGCCCAATGTTTGTTGGTATGCCTTTACTGTAGCCCAACCAGTATCCACTGTTTGTTTAGGGGGAGCTAGACTAGGGGACCAAGCTATATCTTTCAAGTTGAGATTTAATATAACACAGAAGGAAACCACCACTCCTCCTGTTTATACTACTCTGACTCAGGTTACTGAATCAAGTCACATAGAGATTGAGTGATTGGGATTATATGTGTATCTGACAGGACCATACGTAATTAAGTCTGTTGGTCAACAACAAGTAATATTTGATACAACACGCTCTCTTAAATAAGTTGCACTATTGGAAGAGGGGCCAGTCATGAAGACTATAAAGATGTAGTGAAGCTATGCAGGGAGAACATTAGGAGAGCCAAAGCACAGCTAGAGCTCAACTTAGGTACAGCTGTTAAGGATAACAAAATATGTTTCTTTATTCATTAACAGCAAAAGGAGGATTAGGGAAAATCTCCCTCCTTTACTGGATGCAGAGGGAAACACGGTAACTAAGGATGAGGAAAAGGCTGAGGTGCTCAACGCCTACTTTGCCTCAGTGTTTAACAGTGGAACTGTCTGTTCCCTGGACACCCAGCCTCTGAGCTGGGAGATGGAGAGGGGAAGCAGATTGAGGTCAGCACAGTTGACGAGGAGTTGGTCAGAGACCTGCTGCACCACTTGGGTGCACACAAGTCTGTGGGACCAGATGGGTTACACCCAAGGGTGCTGAGGGAGTTGGCAGATGTGCTTGCCAAGCCACTGTCCATGGTTTACCTGAAATCATGGTTAACTGGGGAGGTCCTATTGGACTGGAGGGTGGCAAATGTGACACCCATCTACAGGAGAGTCAGAAAGGAGGATCCAGGAAACTATAGACCTGTCAGTCTGCCCTTGGTACCATGGAACGTCATGGAGCACGTTACCTCGGGTGCCATTAAAAGTCATATAATGGACAGTCAGGGGATCAGGTCTAGTCAGCATGTGGTTATGAAACGCAGGTCCTGCCTGACAAACCTGATCTCCTTCTATGACAGGGCAACCTGCTTACTGGATGAGGGAAAGGCTGTGGATGTTGTTTACCTTGACTTCAGTAAGGCCTTTGACACCGTTTCCCACAGCATTCTCCTGGAGAAACTTGGCCGCTCACAGCTTGTATGGGCACAGGCTTCGATGGGCAAAAAACTGTCTGGATGGCCGGGCCCAAAGAGTTGTGGTGAACAGAGTTAAATCCAGTTAGTGGCCAGTCACAAGTGGTGTCCCCCAGGGCTCGGTTTTGGGGCCACTCCTGTTTAACATCTTTATTGATGATCTGGATGAGGGGATCGAGTGCACCCTCAGTCAGTTTGCAGATGACACCAGGTTGGGTGGGAGTGTTGATCTGCTCGAGGGTGGGGAGGCTCTGCAGAGAGACCTGGACAGGCTGGAGCCATGGGCTGAGCCCAACTGCAGGAGTTTCACTAAGGCCAAATGCCAGGGGCTGCCCTTGGGCCACAACAACCCTCAGCAGTGCTACAGGCTTGGGGAGGAGTGGCTGGAGAGCTGCCAGTCAGAGAGGGACCTGGGGGTGTTGATTGACAGCCCGATGAACAGGAGCCAGCAGTGTGCCCAGGTGGCCAAGAAGGCCAATGGCATCCTGGCTTGTGTCAGCAATAGCGTGGCCAGCAGGGACAGGGAAGGGATCTGACCCCTGTACTCGGCACTGGTGAGGCCGCCCCTCGATTCCTGTGTTCAGTTTTGGGCCCCTCACTCCAAAAAGGACATTGAATGACTGGAGCATGTCCAGAGAAGGGCAACGGAGCTGGTGCAGGGTCTGGAGCACAGGTCGAACGGGGAGCGGCTGAGGGAACTGGGGGTGTTTAGTCTGGAGAAGAGGAGGCTGAGGGGAGACCTCATCGCCCTCTACAGCTCCCTGAAAGGAGGGTGCAGAGAGCTGGGGATGAGTCTCTTTAACCAAGTAACAAGCGATAGGACAAGAGGGAATGGCCTCAAGTTGCACCAGGGAAAGTTTAGACTGGATATTAGGAAGCATTTCTTTCCAGAAGGGGTTGTTGGGCATTGGAATGGGCTGCCCAGGGAGGTGGTGGAGTCCCCATCCCTGGAGGTGTTTAAGAGTAGAGTCAACATAGTGCTGAGGGATCTGGTGTAGTTGGGAACTGTTAATATTGGGTTAATGGTTGGACTGGGTGATCTTCAAGGTCTTTTCCAACGTAGACAATTCTGTGATTCTGTGTGATTGATGCAGAATGACATGTCCTTCATTCAACCAGCTTGTTCACCGTTCCTGAAATTGTTCACATGTGGACTGGATGACATGGTTACAGAAAAACATTTCCTCCCCAAATGAGGACTGAGAGAGATATAACTGGTACAATAGGAACAGGACTGAGAGTTCTAAATAGTATAGATACTGAGATAATAATGAACAAACTCACTGTGGCAACCAGTGACCTGAACAAAATACAGTACCCTCTAAGATCTTCCCTCTTAACCTTAAGAAATAGTCTATGGCTTATGGCAGATGCATTACCACAATGGGAAGTGATGAATTTAAAAGACAATGAACTGATTATTGAGGCAGTAGGTGCAGTCCAAACTAATGTTTCTGTAGCACTTAGCTGTATCTAAGCTCAATTATGTATACAGTCAATAGCAGCTGCAGTCATCAGGGAAGGTGAGGACAGGACCCTGCCAAGAGAAATCCAAAAGGTGATCTGGGATAATGCAACTGAATTTGAAAGAAAATTCTAATCTTGGTGGCATTTAGTTAATTTTACCTTTGACCCTGTAACACAGTCACAGCTTTTGTACTAACAATAGCCTTGTGTATAATATACACCCAATTGTTGCGTTAGGATTAAATCATCACAGAACTGTACTTTATCCTTTAGAGCACAGGGTAAGGACTAGGAAAAATGGAGAGAACTGGCAAACTATTGATGTGGAGGCATGTGTTTCATGAGAACAGCAAGGATTTATTTGTGAAGGTAACACCCGCAAAGCTCAAGATACCTGTCTTGACATCAAACAAATTGTTTGTCATTTTGAAATACATCCCAATGCAACCCTAGAAACTGTAATAATTTACATGGGTATGGGATGTGTTTGCTTAAGAACCCTATGTGATTCTGTACAAGCAGATGACCTTATAGTGGACACAAGCAACCATCTGAATATTCATATCTGCAGTTTCACTGGTTTTAGAGGATATGATTTTAATTATACTGTTTCTGTCACCATTTAGCAATTGTTGTAATCTAGTTATAAGTTGGTTCAAGATTGGCAACCCCTCCCTATTGGAATGAATCTGGCCCTAGTTAGGAAACTACTACTACATCACAAAAATCTCAATAAATTGATACAAATTCAGGAAAGTGGACAAAAGACTCTAATCACTAACCAACATGATGCAGAAAGGATACATCAAGTAATGGAACAAGTGAAGTCAGATGGAGAACACTATTGGTGGGATGTGTTCGTGGGCCATTCTCTGCAAGCTACCAAAGTTTTGAACATATATTGATATTACTAATAGTCACGGTAATATTGATGATAGTAAATCTTATCTTTTGGTGTAAACTGAAAGGGCTTACTGAACCCATATGGGCCTTAAATAGTAATGAAATATAATGAAACATTTTTTACCGCAAAAGAATTTGCGTTGAAGAAAGAAAAGGAGGGAATTGATACAGGCAACTAACTACTTATAGCAATTTATTTACTTATAATGACTTATAATGATTTCTAAATACTGTTTGCCTTGATTGTTTCCTTGAAACTCTTTACCAAGGACTGGTGTTTGTCAAGGATTAAGCTTGTTAGGGGCTGGTATTTGTCATAACAAAGGAAACAAAGCAGTTGTCAAGATGTGCCTTAACAAACATGTCCTTGTGAAACAGATGTTATACCAAGTTAGTCCTTGCAGAGAGCAGAAAACCATATAGAGACAGTAGAAGCTAGAGTGCTAATGCTTTTACATAAGATAGAGGGAGTGAACCGGTAAGGACAACTCTTAAGGTTTAAGAAACTATTTAGGAGAGTCTGCCCGCGCTCCGAGGAACGGGGTGAGAAGTCCAACGTGAGAAGCTCAACGTGAGGAAGATGATTTTCTCTCCTGGAGACCCCTAAAGCGACCACCAGGAGGCAATATGCAGGCGCAAAGATGCCATAAACATTTTTAGAACGGCGAACACCGGCCTTTTGAACTAACTCCGCCTTGCTTATGCATATGTATGTTTGTATTGTGTAACTCCATGAATATGTGTATCCACACTGTAAATTTCTGGTAAAATGTGCTGTTGCTGTGCGTGTGCTTTGGAGGAGCGATCCCCCACGCACCCAGCACCGGAATAAACATACCTGCTTTGTAACTGTCTCCCTGACACTGAGCGCGGCCACGCCGAGAGCTGTGCCCGCAGCCCCCACCGCCTCCCGGGCCCGAGGCAGGACGGCCCGGCTGCGCCGGAGGGAGCTCGTCCCTCGCCTCCTCACCCAGTCCCCCGGGAAACGAGGCGGAGGGTTGGCGGGCAGCGCCGGGAAGGCGGAGCCCGCGGACAGACTACCGGTAAAGAATTCTCTCGTGACTGCTGCTTTACATTCATGCATTCGTAGGGCAAGGAAATCTAACCGATATCTCTGTACTTGGAACTGGGTCATGGAAGCCCTAGCTGAATAGACTGAAAGGTTGGTTTCACCAAGGACAGTTTAGTATATGCACAGCTGCCTTTCTGGAAGGTCTATCTGCTGTTGTGTCCGCCTGCCCATCCCCCCATATTTACAGTTTAATCAAAGCTGTTTTAAGTGGATTTGATGAAAGCAAAACCAAAAAGAAACATCCCACAGGACAAGGCCTTGGGAGGATGTAATAGGCTCAAAGACAGTAGAGTCTTGCACAACGAAGATATGTAATAAACTATAGTAACTAATTTGCTAAGTTAAGCAAGGCGGCTGCTGTAATAAACTACTGTAACTAATTTGCTAGGCTGGGCAAGGTGGGTAGGTACACTTGAATGATCTGTAGAAGTTAAACAATTAAATGTAAAGTGGGCCATTCAGATTGCAACAATGTACCCGTGTCTCAGAAACTGAGCTGACACGTAACTGCTGCTTGAAGAGAAGCCGCCGAAAGGATGGGATCATGAGGCTTTTAAAAGATCCGATAGGAGAAAAGCGAGTCAGGAGACCAAGGCTTCGAGACTTTCAAAAGACCCAGTAGGAGGAGGACATGCACCCAGCAACCCAAATGACCCAATGGAAAAGAGCAGGACAACTATCTGACGGGAGGAGATTGGTTAAAGACGATGGCACGAGAGTATAAAAACCGCTGCTTTTTGGACTCGGGGTGCGTGTGGCAGAGCTGCGGCTCTCCATGCACCCCGCGCTGCTTTGCCTATTGCTTCCCACCCTAAATCGATCGACCCCCCCCCCAATATATATTTTTATAAAAATTGGCTTTGTCTGATTATAACAGATATAAAAGGACAGAATATTGAATGGAGGAACAAGGAAACCTCATTTGGTCAGGTGCTCAGAGATACCACAAAGGCTGCCCAATTCATCCTTTAGATGAATTTTACTCATTTTAATGTGAAAATCACACCTCTTGATGAGAAGCCCCCTACTCTGATAAGACACCCACCCCCCCTCCCCTTTGAATTTGCACAGAATAATAAAACGACACCATAACTTTAAAACAGAGGGGGCATGTTGTTAACCAATGAGGGACAAAGTGGTAGGAAAATAACCAGTGGTCATCACCCAGTTTGGAGTGTCTGTCACTTGCCTGCATGCGGTGTGCTGGCTTAGTGGAATTACCACCCAGCATCCATCTCTGCGTAGACATGGATTAAACTAACCAACTAACTACTTATAGCAATTTATTTACTTATAATGATTTCTAAATATTGTTTGCCTTGATTGTTTCCTTGAAACTCTTTACCAAGGACTGGTGTTTGTCAAGGATTAAGCTTGTCAGGGGCTGGTATTTGTCATAACAAATTCTGAAATACTGCTTGTTTTTTCACATATCAACATACAGCATATTTATTCCAGAAAAAAAGTCCAGACCCTCACTTGGGATCTACAGAAAAGAAAAATTCCTATCCCTGTCTGGACCATACTCTCCTTAGCAAAAAAAAAACCCAAACAAAAAAAAACCCAAACCAAAAACCAAACTCCAGGTATCTTGATATCTTGTATATGGTAAAAAGGATGAGTAAATTCCAATATAAACCAAAACAGCTCATGGTATACAGGGTAAAAAGAACCCAGATTTTGGGAAAACAGATTGACAATTTATTACAATTCCTGCTAAAAGCACTAAGCAAGTGTAATTTAAGAGCCTTTGCTATACAGGCCACGCTAGATCATGTGGTCTCATCTGGCTGTAAGGGTTGTTCTTACCTGTGGAGGTGCAGGTTTCTCAGAGCAGTATGCAATCACAGAGGAAATGCATTCCGCATGCCTTTCCATTCTCTACAACTACTTTCTCAGCAAAGTACAGAGTAACATTCAGTCAATTGGCTGCAGTCACAGCCATGCATCAAAATAAATCCGGTTCTACTTGCAATACACTTTTTAATAAATATTATTCTGCATAGTACCTGCTTGAAGCTAGTATGTATTTAAATTATGAATCATTTAGTACTTTTTATTATTTATGGATGATGCATAGTATTTTTCTGGCAACTTCACTGCTATGGCTAGAACTGTCAGTGTAGGAACTGTGGAAGGGGGTCACATAGGCTGAAGTAGAGGCGGCAATTCAGCAGTTCAGTGCAGTATCTTCCCCGACCTTTAGCTGGAATGTCATTTTATGTTCCTGTATCAACTATTAGGATCCATAGGCATAAACTGGGTGATTAGAACTATAATTCAGTCGGAGAGAAGTTGTAAACCTGAGCTATCAATAATTGAATGAGTACTGTGCTATGGGAAGGAAAAGCACAACATTAAGTACGTACTGTCCCTGAGAGAAATAAAAATGTTACAGATCAGCAATGCCAGTAATACTCAGTGCCATCACTAAATGTTCTATTTAAAAAAAAAGTCCCAGCTATTGCAGCCCAGTTTGAAATTAAGCAAAGTGTGATTTCCAAACACGAAACATTTTTGTTATATCACAATTGTTCTGTCAAGAATGGCAAATCCTGTGCATACTTTTTCTGATGTGTGAAGCTTGGTCATGTGCTTGAATTCAAATGCAAAGTATGCTTTTCAGAACCAGTGCTGAAGAAGTTTGCTTCACTCTTCCCCCCAAGTTTATTTTCCATGCTTCTGTGCTGCACCATTATGTCACAAAGAAAATACATCTTTTTAAAGGGTTGTTTATCTGGAAGGTATCGTTCAGAAACTTGTAGATGAGAAGCATTTCTAACACAGTGCACTTGAAATTCGTAAATGCTAAAAATCAGATGAAATAATTTTTAAACCTCTCAAGACTATCATACAGAAAACAGCTGTAAGTTAAAAGCGGGTGGACAAGCAGCAAATGTTCATCATGATGGTGCAAAACCTGCTGCTTTCTTTTGCTCTCTCACATCTCATTCCACCATCACTGATTTGTATGAGACTCCTCTCTGATTTAAGACAAATAGGAAAGATGTATAAGTGTTTAAGGTAACGATTATCCTGTCCTACTTAGTAGGACAGAGTTAAAACCAATTTTTCCTTACTGCAGTACAAGCTGAAAACTCTTACGAAGCTGTGTACATACAGAGGACCACCAACTACTCCACTACTTTGAATAAAAGTCTCAATTTATGACTTCTCAGTATGGAGAAGGTGGTGGACAAAGCTTATTTTGGCAAACCTTGATCTGAATTACTTCATATATACAATTACTAGTTCCCAACATTTTTGTACAGAAGTTAGCATATTTCTTACCTACATGTAAGAATCCTGTCTCCACAAGCTGACAGAATATACATCTGGAGTCTGACAGCTACTTTAAAGGAAAAAAAGACACAGTACAAAACATCAAAAACAAAATCAGGTAAAGTGGAATCCCTTGAAGACACTATTAGCTTACTATAATGCATATATGAATGCTTGGATGTTGGGACTTTGAGTAAATGTTTTCCACAAGACACCTGCTTGTAAAGTCAGCAGGAAGTCTAACCTGTATTTGGATTACAAGGTTTATATGAATAATATGCCTAACGTTAGAGAATGTGTGTGTGAAAATAATCTGATTTTCACTTTTCTAATTTCTGAATTTTAGTCTAGAGACTTTTAACTGCTAATATAGTTCTTATGACCATATTGCCCTTTAATAAATTTTATTTTTCCAATGAGTATTAAAAGGTAATACTCCCCGCAACTGTGTAAAGAAAAAAAAAGAGTGTTAAATGAAGGGTAGATAGAAGGACCAAAAATTAATTTTTTTTTAAAGCAAAGAGACAAGGTAGTGAAATTATACCAAAGGAAACAAAGCTAGTTAAATTTTATTTTCCAAAACTCCAACCTAAATAAGTATGTTAAATAAGCATCCAGAAAACAGTCACTCTTATTAGCAGATGCACAAGTTATTTAACCAAACAAATAACAGTGAAATATTAACAGAATTATTTACATGCATATTTACAGCATGTTCTTTATAGCAAGTAACTTTTGGGAAATACTTCCAATTGTTTTTGGTAAGGAGTTCTACTCAGTCTAACAAGTAACAGGAAGCAGTACAACTGAGTTTGGCAACAACAAAGGAGTAACCTAGGAAAACTAGAATGATTATATAGGGTTAAAATAGAGCAGTTGGCTTCAGAATGTTAACATTTATGAAATACATGAATTTATACCAACTACAAAATTAAACTACATAAAATTAGAAGAACGGAGAATGTTACAAGGGTTGCTGGAAGGTTAGACATGTTAGACACATTAAAAAAAAACAAAACAAAAATCCCCAAACCTCAAGCACTGCACATACCCTTGAGAAGCATGGATTAAACATAACTATATTCATATACTCTTGAAGAACACAACAACTTAAAGGATAGTTTTTGCTAGTAAGATTTGAAAATAAGCTTATATGAACCAAAGATCTTGAAAGCACACAAATTCTGAAATACTGCTTGTTTTTTCACATATCAACATACAACATATTTATTCCAGAAAAAAAGTCCGGACCCTCACTTGGGATCTACAGAAAAGAAAAATTCATATCCCCATCTGGACCATACTCTCCTTAGCAAAAAAAAAAACCAAACCCAAACCAAAAAACAAACTTCAGGTATCTTGATATCTTGTATATGGTAAAAAGGATGAGTAAGTTCCAATATAAACCAAAACAAGCAAGCAAGCAATTAAATTTAGATCAAATTATTCTTCCCTTTTGGCCTTCAAAGGAAATTTTATGGGACAGTTCCCCATTAAATTTTAATTTCATTTATGATTAACTTTAAAATAATTTTAATTGCAGCCAAAACATTGTTCATATACCTGTACATAAAATAAACTATGATATATACACAACATTTTAAGTTACAGGGTATAAGTTTACAATTTTTGGCAGATTCTGTTAAACAAAATGGAAATTGTATAGCTTTAGTACTTTCAGACACTCAAGTTCCTTATTTTGGTACAAACATTTTGTGTCCCCCTGTATTCTAACCATGCCTAAATTGGCTTCAAAAACTAACCTTAACTGTAACATCTCACTGTTTTCTCTTATGTTCAGATTCTAGACAGAATTTTTCATATGCTTCTTCAATTTCTGGATCCATCTCATCGTCAATGTCATCAAAACACCTTTAAAAAAAAAATCACCAAAGATGTTAAGTTTATGTACAGATTTTCAGAAACATTTATGTAGATATCAAGAATAAAACAAGAGCTTTATACATACCAGAAAAAAATAATGAGTTTTAGGAAAACAAAACAGAAACCTCAAAGCAGCACAGATATATAAAAAATAGCTACAGTCACCATTTTAGATCATCTTACGCTGTCTAAAAGTTTAAAAGACAGAAATAGTACCCAAGATGACAGAAAATACAATAATACAATCCAAGCTTCCCAAAATGTAATAATGCAACTGTATGGATATATGTGCAAAAAACATAATTAGCATTATATTGGCATAATTTTTGGTTCATGAACAGCCTAGTTCAAACACTGCATCAACTGTCTTGGTTGCAAACTATTCAAAGAATATATTTGTACAGAAAACCTACATTCCTGTTTGTTGTTATATGAAAGACGGCAATCTTTATTCATCTCCCAACTGTACCTGCATTATATTACCTTCTATTATATAGTAACCAGTCTTTTGGAAAAGATCTGTCTTATTTAAGTCATAGAAAAGTCTGGATCCCATTAATGATAGTAAGTATTGCATGTAGTGGAGACTACTGTAGAGTTTCAAAATAAAGCTGGGAAGTGATGGGGATCACTTCAGCATGCTTTCTCCCCACAGATATTGGGAAGTAACTTGACTAACTGATGTCAGTCATGAGAAATAGCTGACAAGAGGATCAGCATACATTTGTCTAAGCTTTTCTTAAGCCTTCAAACAAAGGAGGTTCCACAGTCACCTTGCAAGAAGGCTGACTCCAGTCTTCCACATGTCACTCTTTGGATTTGCTGGGTTTTTTAATGGCTGTCTCCATTTTGCTCCATTTAATTCGATCTCCTAAAGAGGTTCACATGGGTCTTTTTCTCCCCTTGGTATGAACTTGTTGATACCTCATGACATCTCTGATTTATTTTTCAAAGTTCTTGCCACTCCCCTCAGGCAGGCATGATCTAAAAGTTTGCTAATTTACTAACAAAAATATTGATCCAGTCCAGCACTGTAATCACACATAAACACAACACTGAAAATGTTCTTAGCTATCAAATCATGATCTGAAACTCCTCCTTCAACTAGGTGGGTATAAAGCTCAGAGCAATTTATTTTAGACAACATTTCTTTTACTTGTTTCCTATTAAATTCTTATAAACTGGTGTCAGAAAGTCAGACTACATGCCCATATATTGCTTCCCCCTTTGCCATTAAGGTTGCTTTTCCTGTTCCACAGGAATACTGAATAGCCATTTAATTGAGGGAATACTACTTAACCTGAGGAGAGAAACTTAACAACGTCCTCTCTTTGAAAGACTCTGAAAATTTTGTAATTGTCTCTAGCTGGGATGTGTATGTGCATCAGTCAAATGAATTCAGGTTTCCCCACTATGAACACTTGAATATCTGGTGCTTCACTTTGCCTGCAATTTTTTTTTTTTTTTTTTAATACAGAAGAGAGTTGTTTGTACATGTTCATAATTTAATTACCCTGCTCAGTTGCATAAATATAAAATGTATTTCACACTTGTGTGATTACAAATCAGCTTACAGTCAAATACATAACTTCCATTGTACAGTTTAATAATTATTTAGATTCATTTTGGTCAAGATTGGATTCCTAAGTCTGCAGTAAAAATAACTAGTATTAAAAAAACTATCACTCAAGAAGAAAACATACAGATCTCCAGGTCCTGATAGGTCTGTTCCATTTTCTTCATAATCTGGAAACAAATCCTCTCTTTCAAGCAGCTCTTGGTATTTTTCTTGGTAATCTGGCACAGTGAAAGAGATTGAGTAAGACTAGCCCTTTGAATTAACATACATCTATACAGTTTGAAAATAGTCTATTTAATAAAACCATAAATGGCATGAAACGTATTATAGAAAAAAAAAATCCTGCTACATTGTTTTCTCAGGACATCAGTTGACCTCTAAGAATGATACTGAACTTCCCAGAGAACTGTAGTCACAGATGTCTTTACCTCAAATGAGGTCATGGCACATTGTGCTCAGATGACAGAAACCAAGGAAGAAAAAAACCCTTTGGTAACTGACAATAGAGAAGCAAAAGAAGCCTTCAAGATTTCTGGGTTACTGGAGTGCTGAGGACTATGGCACAAATTCTTCTGAACTACTTTAAATGCAGAATATGTATTTCAGTTAAAGTATTTACCTTCTTTTAATGCAGAATAAGGCACATGTGACACAAACCTGGGCATTCAGATATAATTTTGTTTTTTTTTTTTATGTTGTACAAGTTTAAGAATAACTTTTTAAAGAACACTGAGAAGACAGGTACACTAAGCTTGTGACATACCTGGATCTGCTGCAGTGAAAGGAACACCATCAGAAGTGTAAAATGTTGGCTCATTCTAAGAATAAAAGTTATACAGAAAATTATATGCATTCAATAGACACAGCTGTTTGTAGTTTTCAGCAATATAATTATCTATGAATCAAATTAAATTCACATTAAATTAAGGAACTGAAGTGTCTGTAAATTCTTACCATAAAATAGTTTGGGTCATTTTCAGGGGTAGCTTCTGTATGTGGAGAAGTTCCATGAACTCTACCCCAGTTACTTGATCGCAGTTCTACTAGTTTCAGAAGCATATGTTTCACATCTCTGAAATAAAGAGAAGCACCACAAAAGTTACAATGTTTTGTGCTAAGCAAGATATTGGACTTCTCTTATTTTACAAATACTAAGTTAAATTGTCCCCAAAAAGCTTCTAACAGATAAAATTTGGTCCAGTCTGCAGATAATTTTGGTTAATTTTTTCCCCTGCAAGTCTAGGTGCTTTATGTATCAATTATGAGATATTCACCCTTTCCACTTCCTCTGTGGTAAACTAAGAAGCCCATGCAAAACTGAAATTGCTATAGTTTTTTTATCAAGATACCAAACCTGCAGCACATGTTGAGGAACAAATCCTTTCCTGATGAAAAGGACAGTACTGGGAAAACAGGAGATGACCTTCAAATTGTTTTTTAATAATCTGATTTATGCTCCTAACTTTAGCCCTCTTAAATTTTGTGTTCAACAGAGCAACATGTCTCCAATACAGTGGATATCACTACCCATTTCATCCCTAAAGTAACAGAAATTGCTTTCTTCTTTTAAGCAAGTCCGTGAAGAAGAGTTTTATCAAGGAATAAATAAAATCTTCAGTTGTTTTCTCTATTAAAATAAGTTTGTGCTTCTGTGTATTTGAAGGCTCAGCTTGCACTATCAATTTTCTCTGTTTTTTGAAGGAAAATTTTCCACATCATCCCTGGGGGCAGCTCAATTACAACCCACAGATGCCATGAGCTACCTGTTGGCCTCCTCCTGTATGGCAAGAGATCAGGTCACAGTGTCTGAACCCTTTCTATAGGTTTTTACTAAATTTGCAAGAAGCTGAGAATGAAGTACAGAAGTATCAGACAACTTCACGCAATCAGTTGATTGCAAACTGAGAAGCAGAATACATTAGCCAACCTCTAATTTTCTTCCAGACTGCAGTAAGACCCTTGCCAAAAACGCATGCTCTCCAGAAAAAAACCACCACAAAAATATTGCATTTTGCTTTTACATTTATAGTGATTTGTATACATTTAATACCATTACATATTTAATACTGTTAAATTCAGGTTTAAAAGTATAAATGATGAGATAATGTCACTATTGTCTCTTTGTGTATATACTTGCTCTTAGAGCCTAAAGCACCTACAGAAGATTGAGACCTAAAAGGTTAAAAAACCCCAATAAATTAATGTAGAACATGCATCTGTATTAAAAGATAAAATATTAAAAAGCGAAAAAAACAAAACAAACCACCCTCAAAACCTCTTCAACTGAAAAACACTTTTCTTTTAACATGGGAAGTGACTCATATCACCTTACTTTTCATAAATAGAACCTCTACAGATAATGTTTTGGATATGTTCACTGTTCCTGAAGATTTTTAAGACAGATAAATTTATCTTCTCACCTACTACAGTTTGCATCCAACACAACATTTTCAATTCTCTGAATCATCTCCTCCATATCATTCTTTCCTTTTTCTTTCCAGGCATCTTCTAAAACTGAGCCTGTCAACTAAAGACAAGGGATTAGTTTGAGGTTTGTTTGCTTGTTTGTTTTTAAGACAATTACAAAACTTCAATAAACTGTCAATAGAAGAGATTCTGTAACAATTCATAACATTGAGATACACTGTGTGACTACCTAAGGGCTGAAGCTCCCAAGTACCTTCATCTTTTTGCTATTTAACAATAACATTTAACAGACTAAGATTTTAAGATTTAACAGGCTTTGTAAATAGTTTATTTTAGACTGCAGAAAGTATGGTAGCTCTGTGTCCAGTTATTGTTACCTAGAAGTTCACAGCCACTTCTCACCTTTCAGTCTTGAAATATGGTTTTGAAACAACTCTTCAGTGACATCTGTCAGATCTTACTTAAATATATGCTACAAAAAAAGAGACCTTATTTTTGCAGACAATGCCACCAGCATGCCTAACAAATAGTTTAATAAACTTTAGAAACACTTCAGTTAACTTAGCTAGCATCCAACATACCAGAGAATTTAATCTGGGTATATATAAGAGGAGTCAAGAATTATGTGACCAAGCCAGCCTGAATTTTAATACATAAAATCTGAGAGGCTGAAGCTGCTGCTGAGAAAGCTTTAGCAGCAGTCTAGAACTGCTTTTGTTAAGAATAGGTACTTCATTGCACAGTAGGAATTAAATCAGAAAAAAGTAGTTTGCTATTATGATCAGTCAATAGCAATTCTTGATCTACTCAGCATAAATAGTACATGATCCAAGATGCTTGGAATGGCACCCGATGATACAAAGGTAGAAAACGCAAAGACAAAAGCAAGCGTTTTAGCACTTGTTTGGTATTCCCAGTTTTGTTTGGCAGTTCTACCTTTATCCTAGATGATTAGATAACAGCACCAAGAAGATATAATTAAAAATAAACATACGGCAAAGAAAACAGATGAAGAACCTGTATCTATCACTATATTAAATGGAAGAGACAACAGGAGACATTTATTACTTCAGTAGTGAAACCAAGGATTCATGAGGTAGCCCAATGTAGCTATAGATATACTCCAACATTTGAAGATACTGTAAAACATCAGAAAAAATTTGCATTCAAAAAAAAAGTTTTGTACCACCTTTTAGATTGATCAACATGACAAAATAATCCATTAATATCCACAGAAACAGTGATAACTATCTTCTTTGGGTAATGATTATAAAAACCATCAGCCCTGGAAACTTTTCTGATTTGTGTACTCCCTTTCTGAAAGGTCTTTCAGTGGGCCATGCCTCAGGGAAGCACTGCCAACATAAGGACTGACCACAGGAGTGAATGTGCTCATTGAACACAACTTCACCGTTGCTATAAAGCAACCTGCTGAAATATCCAGACTTCAAATAAAGGGAAGTTGGAAGATGTAAACCTCTTCTCTGTTCCCTATTTACCATATCAAAAGAAGCTGCCAGAACTGGAATTCAAGGTAAAAGAGTCTCAAAAATAGTGGAGGGGAGGAAGTGGGAAGAATGAGGGAAAACAAACCAACCAACCACAAAAAAACATAAACAAACCAGAAAAATACTGCTTTAAGCCTTCACTCCTAAAATAATTTGTGTTCCCAACTACGAGTATAACTGACTAGTGAAGATAAGTTTCTCCCTGCATAGAGGCTAACAATTTTTCAAAGAGAAAGTAAAACATAAGAGCAAAGAAGTTTTTCATTATGAAAGAGAAATACGTATTTTTCTACAGTAGTAATGATGCAGACAATAAAGTATGCAATAACTGAGATCAAGAACCTTTTGCTGCAAGAAGTTGTCCTTCAGAACAAACACCATGCCCAAACCTCACAATTCATTCAAGTTGGTTAGTTTTCTCCCACACCAGAAGCAGCAAAAGGAGACCTGAATGGACTGCTTATTCCTTTGCACCATGGCTTCAGTATATGTACATAAATGGTCTCACATATTACTTTTAGAGCAGTACATTACTTTTTTGTTGGATCAATTTCATAATGGTACTAAGGAAAAGTACAGCTTACTCTGCTGATGATGTAATGGATAAAACCCTATAAACACTTCCTCATTTGCAGTTTCCCCCTCTCCTCCCAAAGGTAGGAAGGTTAAAAAACCTGGTTATTTTTTTTCCTTTGAAAACTACTGTCTCACCTTCAGCAGTTTCACTGCACATATTAAATTACTGTCCACAGGATTAGAGAAAAGCGCGTTTAATAATTCCCGAAGGCCTTCCTGAAGGATTTCTGCTCGCATTACTTGTCCCTTTGTTCCTTTAATCTGCAAAATATAAATAAAAAAAATAATCTAAGAATTTTAGAAATTTAGTCACATTTTCTCTTTTGAATGCTGTATGATTTGGTTTGCGATCAACACAGCTGAGCTCTTTATTTAGAAAAATATGCCAAATACTGTGAAAAACTACTTGTTTTAGAACAGACTTTGAGTAATAAGATCTTTACAATTATTATATCTACATAACAATGCATGTCTAGCATTTTATAGTGTCTGCTTAAATCGAACCATTGCAATAATCCAGTCAAAAATATGTTTTTAAGTACACTACAGCAGTTAGTGAACTTACGGAACTCACAAGAGTCAAAGAAGTTTCACATGTACATACACATTTCTGTACATACCAGATACGAAAACCCAATCTAAATACAAAATTTCAAGCTTCATGCATAAACCAAGGACTCAACCTCCAGATGAAGTATCTTTAAAAGTCTGCATTTTTAATTGCTCATTTTGAGCATTTCCACATCTTCCTGAAGGGTGCGATAATAGCTCCTATTAGTGGCTGAATACTGAATTACATGGGTTATTGATGACCTGCTTCTGTTAGGTTGTAACATTTCCTATGTTGGTTAAGTGTAGTCACCTGGGAGTTTTGCCAATCAAAACAAAAGATGAAAAGCTTCATTCCAAAGGTGATTTATGGTTGCTTCATTTTATGAATTCTTACACTCTTTTAAAAATCTTTATACACTTCTAACAATCTCATCCTTTTTTGTTTCTGTTTCTTGGATATACATTACAATAAAACTGTTCTAAAGTTCTTTTACTTTATTCCCCTCTCCCTTTAGAAATGCACCTCAAATTATATTCCATTTCAGTGTTTACCTAAACACAACAAAAAAATTAATGAAGAATCACCTGACATGCAACTTTCCTCTTACCTCTAGGTTAAGGTAAAGTTCAGCTAAGAACAGAACAAAGGCATGAAATTGTTTTCGAGTTGTCTCATCTCCTTTGGTAGCTTCATCTCTGTTTTCATACTCTGTTCGACACCTGTAAATATTAAAGTAAAACCATATAACCTGTAGACATCCCGGCATATGTAACATGCTACTTAATTAGTAGAATGCTAAGAACTTATGAACTGCATTAAAACTGTTAACTGCTGAAAGCTGGGAAGTATGATTTGTGAAGGAAATGAGAGGACTTCAAAGACACTGGATTTGTGTCTTTTTAGATGAATACATACAATTACATGATTATGTTTTCAAGCACTGAGATATCTAAGAAAGCAAAATGAAACAGAGCAAATTACAAGTAAAAGTTGTAAAAGTCAGGCACATAGTTTATGTATTAGACTCCAGAAAGTTTAACACAGGCAGCCAAACATCCACAGCAATAAACTAGAAATACTCCGGAAGACATTTTCTCTTGTTCAGGGTGTTGCCCACATTGTCTTAGATGGCTTGTTCGATAAATTCTTTACCTCACTATTTTAAGTGACAGTGATGCATAATTCATGACAGCAAGCTGTGGTCCAGTTGATACTCTAGAGGGAAGGGATGCCATCCACAAGGACCTTGACAGGTTTGAGCAATAGGCCTCTATGAGCCTCTTGAAACTCCACAGGGCCAAATGCAAGGTCCTGCACATGGGTTAGGGCAATCCCAAGCACAAATACAGGCTGGGGGATGAGTGGATTGAGAGCAGTCCTGAGCAGAAAGATTTAGGAGTAGCAGTGGATAGAAAACTGATTACAAACTAGCAATGTGTGATCGGTGCCCAGAAAGCCAGCTGTATCCTGGGCTGCACCAAGACAAGTGTGACCAGCTGGCACAGGGAGGGGATTCTCCCCCGCTACTCTGCTCTCATGAGACACCACCTGCTGTCCTGTGTCCAGCTCTGGGGCCCCCAACGTAAGGGACATGGACCTGCTTGAGCACGTCCAGAGGAGGCCATGAAGATGATCAGGGGGCTGGAGCACCTCCCCTGTGAGGACAGGCTGAGAGAGTTGGGGTTGTTCAGCCTGGAGAAGAGAAGGCTCCAGGGAGACCTTATAGTGGCCTTCCAGTACTTAAAGGGGCTACAGGAAAGATGGGGAGGGACTCTTTATCAGGGAGTATAGTGACAGCACGAGGGGCAATGGTTTTAAGCTGAAAGAGGGTAGATGTAGATTAGGTATAAGGAAGAAATTCTTCACTGTGGGGGTGGTGAGACACTGGCACAGGTTTCCCAGAGCAGCTGTGGCTGCCCCCTCCCTGGCAGTGTCCAAGGCCAGGCTGGACGGGGCTTTGAGCAACCTGGGCTAGTGGAAGGTGTCCCTGCCCATGGCAGGGGGGTTGGAAGTAGATGGTCTTTAAGGTCCCTCCCAACCCAAAACATTCTATGAGTCTACGATTCTATAATTTAGATATAAATACAGATAACAGGCTTAAGATAACCTGGCAGTGAGGTAAATTTTCTAGTATTCAACAATTGTACCAAAAATACAGAAGTTTACATAGCAGGTCAAAAATGTAATTAAAAAATTATTTGAAATAAAATAAAAGCCAGATAACTTCTAATGTATTGTCAATTGTTATGTAATAGATTAAGAAACACCAGAGAGACTGAAAAATCTAAGGAGCTGAAATACAAAATTCAAGGTAGAATCCTGGGCAGAGAAACAGAAAGAGGATGTCTCTGTGGTCATATTGTTAGGCTGTTTATTCCATATTAACAATAAAAACTTAAGCAACTTTAAATTCATGGCTTTAGAGTACTAAAATGAATTTTATGTATTGGGTTGGCTTTAAAAACAAGGAACCAGATAATCCAACATTAACAGGGATTCCCTTCATGTTCAAGTAATATGCATAGTTAAAAAACCAGAAGATAGAAGTGGTAATTTTGAAGGCAAAAAGGCTCATCTGCTTTGGGAGAACGGGAAAAAAAGAAGTATTTTCAGCTTCTCCATAAGGTACCACTCTTGATAAAAGATCATCAGAATACACTGCAGTTAAGTTTTATCATGCTTTTACTCCTAAACATAGGTGGACAAAGTGAAACTTTCAAAATAAGAAGGAAGCCTGAAGCTTATAAAGCCAGAAATCCATAGAGAAAAAAGGCTAATTTTGAAAGAATTATGAAGTATTAAAGTGTACTGCTACTTCAAATATCATGCATTAAGATTTGAAAGGAAGTATACCCATTTAAGAAATGCTGCATTTTCGTGAACTGCCAAGTCTAATCATGATTAAACCATAAACCAAGAGAACTCTGTAGTAACTGAAAGCTGAAGAAATTTATGTTTCTGGGTTTTATGCACCCACTTCATACATTAGCTGATCAGTGAGTGAACCTTACACAGCAACTCCAGCCAGAAAAGTAAGTAAAAGAAAAAACCACAACAAAGTAAGTCCTAGCAATGGACAAGTACAGTACATATATGTACATTCAGTACTTTTTAAATTTGACTAGCTTTCAAATTTACCATGGAATTTCAGATCACTAAGATACTTAGTTCAAAAAATCCTACAGAACTTCGAAGAGAGTCCTATTTTCATATTTAAAAACATATATGTTTGATATCCAGTACATGTGCTTCAATAATCCTCAGTCTAAACTTCTTTTTTAAATATATGTCTTTTCACATGATGTTAAGTGTTACATACGAAATACGAAGACATGTAACCTGAAGAAGTCAGACTTAAAATGACATACTGATACTGACCTTTGAAGTAACAACTGCCGGAAGTTCCCACTTTGTGGACTAATGGTTAGATGGTGAGATAGATAGTTACACAACCGTGCTCCCATGTAGGAAAAGTTTGGGACAGATGTGGCCTGACAAAATAAAAGCGGAAAAATAGGTTATTCATAAAACTTGTAATTAGGCTATCAGGAAAGATCTTTAAAAGCATCATTGAAAACTTTAACAACAATTGATGAAACAACTGAAGAGCAGAACATTAATAATTACTATTTGTCATATTAATTTATCTCATCAACACTTTGCTATATGCATTTCAGTACTTAAAAGTTCATTACACTGTGATTTTGTGGCTTTAAGAAAACAACCACCATTATGCCACATGTCCTCAACTCTACTTCTCCATTATGACCTACAACTAAAGAATGTCTGAAAGTCACTTACAAACTGTTCGTACAAAAAAAAATCAATAGTGAACAAGACACTTTTTCAAGGACATGCACTCTCTCAAGGAGCAATGAGTACATTAAAACACAAAAAAGTCGTCTTCGTTCAGTCTATGAGCTATTTATCTGAGAATCTATTTTTGGCAGTACTGAATGCCCAGGGAAAGAGTACAAGAACAGGGCAAGTAAAGATAAATACTTTCTCCTGTACATGGTCCAGCAATCTGCAGAAAAACAAACTCCTGATTCAGAGGTTAAAACTATCGTTACAGTTAATAGCTTTCGATGGGTCCTTTTTTCTAAAACAAGTCCTGTTACTGTTGAAGATTTACACTTTTTAAATCTAAAAACAGGTAGCAGGGATGAAATTCCACAACATAGGTTATACACTGTATGAAAAATACTTTGCTTAAAATCTGATACTTCAAGAGGTAGAAAAAAGTAATTGAGAATTCAACAGTGTCTACATGCAACCTCTCCTAGATCTTAACGCAGAACACCCTCTTATTCTGGCAGTTTATCGCTGTTCACTTATTTTAAACTTTCTTCTAACAACACTTGAATTTGACATTATTTCTCAGATACAATTTCAGGGAAAAGAGGTTCTCATGTAAATAACTCCATCAGCTCTGCCAAAAAAAACAGGAATAAGGATTCATTAAACTTCTCCTATGGCTTTATCTTCAAACACTCCTTTTACATCTTGATCATCTATCAGCACTACAGATGTGTTTGCACGCTTCTGCTACCAATATGTTTGAAAAAAAAGCCTCTTTCCGTTAGCATGTCAATGCATTATATCTAGTTACCTTCTACAAGCAGAGAAATATATCCACTTAGTGTAACTGCACTGTGTGTATGAAGTTGATGGAAAAAAATGGAAGTGTCTTTGAAAGATACAAGTTGAAGTAATTAAGATAGTCAAATACATTTAATTTCCAGTAAGAGACATGTGAAATAGCTAACAATCTTTTTTGAGTTTTGGTTCAGTCAGTTGCTTGGACTAGAAGACATGATGTCCCTTTTTTATAAGGCAAAATACATCACTTAGATTACACTTCCCTTTCCTAACAAAAAACCCCAAGCCAAAACCCAAACACACACACAAATTCTTCACACCTCATCTCTGTTTTGTAAACGTTATCTTCCTAATTAGTTGGTCTGTATTTGTGGTTGCATCAAACACTGAAACAATTAAATTTCAGATAGTATGAACTCACACAGCACACAGACCAAAACCCCCACCTTAAATCTTCTTAATAACAATCACTACAGTGCAGTATCACCTTCCCTGAATCACTGTTGCTGGTAATCCCAGTTTATTGCTGACTCAAGTCACAATCTAAGCATGAAGGCTAATCTACCAATACATATCTTGAGAAATTTTAGTTGCTGTAACAGGAACAATCCACAGTATTAACTGTACAACAGTCAAGATTCCCAAGCTATGAAGGCAACAGTGTTCAACTTTTGGAAATCAAGAGAAATGGCACTTCACTCTGTCCAGGGACATAAATGGATTAGGAAGAACAGGGTGTATTAAGACAGGCTAAGATACCTGACACACAGATGAAGGGAGGCCTGTACATGATTTGCATTTCCTTTATTTCAGTCTTTTCCCTTCACAACCTAGCATCTGTAAATCTGGCTCAACTGGGTTAAATTAACATCACCGAAGCAGATGCTTATAAATACACTTCAGTGATTTTAATTGTTTTGTGCTAAGTCAGGAAACACAAATACTTGAACCTCTGCTGAGGACAGAAGAATAGTAAGTGTAGTTGACTTACACTTGAACGCTATCCTATCCTGACATACGCAATTGTAGTCAGATGGTTTTGGATACCAGCACAGCATTTTTGTGTTGTTTTATTTTTTGCATTTCAGACTAGTAACACTCAATGCTTCTCAATCGAGAAAGCACAGAAAACCCTATCACTGGACTTGTTTTTAAGTAAGGAGAGAAAGGAAGAGGTAACACGATGAATTTGGTGGCCTTCTACAATGGGGTTCCAGTGCTGGTGGACAAGGGAAAAGCAATTGACATCATCTACCTGGATTAGTGCAAAACATTTGACACTGTCCCACGTGACATTCTTGTCCCTGAACTGGAGAGATATGTATTTGATGGATGGACCACTCAGTGGATAAGGAATTGGCTGGATGGTGGCACTCAAAGAGTTGCAGACAATGGCTCAATGTCCAAGTGGAGAGCAGTGACAAATGGTGCTCCTTAGGGGCGGGCCAGTGTTGGGACCAGTGCTGTGTGACATCTTTGTTGGTGACATGAACAGTGGGATTGAGTGCACCCTCAGCAAGTTCACTGATGACACCAAGCTGTGTTAACACACTGGAGGGAAGGGATGTGCCATCCAGAGAGACCTGGACATGCTGGAGGGATGGGTCCTTGCAAACATCATGGAGTTCAACAAGGTCCCTGCACATGGGTCAGGGCAATCCCTAGAATCACTACAGGCCGAGGGGTGAAGAGAAATGAGAGCTGCCCTGAGAAGGAGTTGAGGGCAATGCTGGATGGAAAACTGACGATGAGCCAGCAATGTGTGATCGGTGCCCAGAAAGCCAGCTGTATCCTGGGCTGCACCAAGACAAGTGTGACCAGCTGGCACAGGGAGGGGATTCTCCCCCGCTACTCTGCTCTCATGAGACACCACCTGCAGTCCTGTGTCCAGCTCTGGGGCCCCCAACGTAAGGGACATGGACCTGCTTGAGCACGTCCAGAGGAGGCCATGAAGATGATCACAGGGCTGGAGCACTTCCCCTATGAGGACAGGCTGAGAGAGTTGGGGTTGTTCAGCCTGGAGAAGAGAAGGCTCCAGGGAGACCTTATAGTGGCCTTCCAGTACTTAAAGGAGGCTACAGGAAAGATGGGGAGGGACTCTTTATCAGGGAGTATAGTGACAGCACAAGAGGCAATGGTTTTAAGATGAAAGAGAGTAGATGTAGATTAGTTATAAGGAAGAAATTATTTCCTGTGAGGTGGTGAGACACAGGAACAGGTTGTCCCGAGAAGCTGTGGCTGCCCCCTCCCTGGCAGTGTTCAAGGCCAGGCCGGACGGGGCTTTGAGCAACCTGGTCTAGTGGAAGGTGTCCCTGCCCATGGCAGGGGGGTTGGAACTAAATTATCTTCAAGGTCCCTTCCAATCCAAACCTTTCTATGAGTCTATGATAACATTAGAGGACTTACATTAAATAAGAATCCATGTATTTAACAAATACGAAGTTAAAAATAGGATAAATTACTATTTTTTTTTCATTCAATATAAATTTATTGGAAATGTTCCACTATTTTTAACTATCTTCTGTGCGTTCAAATAAAGGATGGGAAAATGATCCTTCCAAACACAGCACAGGTAATCTTAATGTCTAACTAAACTGTTCTGAATTAAATGTGCATGAATTCTGTACGATAGTAACAAACTTAATACTACAGTTTTGTACAACCAGCCAGGCAGCTTCCACATCCCCCAGATAAAAATATTCTGCAATTATCTGTACTGAAAAGGTTAGTAAGAGTTTGCATTCTTCAAGGAAGATTTGGAGGCAACCAGCCTGGGAAATTGAGAGACATGCAATGTAATGAACAGCAAGCAGAAGTGTGACTTCATTCTCTACAGCAAGCCCAAAAGACAGTAACAGCAGCTCATTTGCTAAGCAACACATATTAAGCTGTTCTTTCCAATGGCTCCCCCAATTAGTACAGAGTTCAGCTCAAGGTCTCTGTCCTCATTTTCATGGTCATAAATGGGACTGCACCTAGTTACCATTAGATGAGCTTTCCTATCCTGTAATTACGCTGATCTGAAATAGGTATATTTCAAATGAAGAAAGACATCCTGCCAGTAAAGGAGCATTTCCAAAACGGTGATGTGTACAATAGGTACAATTTTTTTTTTTTTAATAGCAAAGAATTAAAGGTATCTTATTATATTTTTTTTCCAGGATAGAATAAAACTACACAACTCTGACATTGCTTAAGAGTTTCTTCAATCTGTACTATATAAACACAAATTCAAATACAAATCCCTTTAAGTGCTGTAATTTAAACTCCTGCATGTGACCCAGGAGATCCTAATACACAAAGGAAACAGAAAAAATTGGGGAAAATTAATCAACCAGCCAGGTACCCCACACTTGAGCTACTATTTCAATTTACTAAGCAAAATCTTCCCCTGTATGTTTCAGTCAAAAAAGAAAAATTTGAACCATTAAAAGACTATGTAGATACAATTATATAACAAATAATACTGGTATGCCTATCTTGGACACTAGTTAAGAGAAGCATAATATCCAAGTTATAAGACAGAATACACAGGTTACCTGCTGATAGATGAGTTCAACAAGTTCTTGTAAAGCTTCATCTGAAGTGACCCAGCCATTCAGTGTTTCAGCAAACTGCTCTATTTCCATTTCAAAGCAACCTGGTTGCTCAGTGAGGTGATTTAGGAAGTCTTGTACATATTCTGCCAAAGTCAGATAGCCATCATATCTATCTTCAAAGGAAGAATCCTATGACAGTGAAAGAATACACCAGCTCTTTAAAAGGAACCTAAAATAATGTTACAGTTACTATCTCCAGAAATAACCGTGTAGCCCTTAGTCTTGAGTGTCTGCATACTTCATAGTGATCTTTACTACACAGTTCACTTCAACATTTTTAGACGGCACAGACCTCAATGCATCTGAAAACTCAAGTAGCCCTATGATCTGAAGAACTAGGTAACATGTTTTTATAGATTAGGGTCTGCCAGCACAACAGATCAAAATACAGACTAGAAGGAAATCAAACAGTTTGCCAAGTTGGGTGAAAGATCAACTAACAAACTAGTAAGGAAGTATTATCTGTTAAGAATAAATCTACCGAAATGAGGCTCAACACCCATTCCTGGTCCTGATGCACACACGAACTGTGGTGGTAGATACACAAACTGCAGAAGGGAAAATAATTTAAAATTTGTTTCAAAGTATATTAGGTTTACATAGCAGGTACAGTGCTCCAAAATATGCAGAAGGGGGAGAAATACAAGCCAGCAGTGTGCACTTGCAGCCCAGAAAGCCAACTGTATCCTTGGCTGCACCAAGAGAAGTGTGGCCAGTGGGCAGACGGAGGGGATTCTGCCCCTCTGCTCTGCTCTTGTGAGACCCCACCTGCAGTGCTGTGTCCAGCTCTGGGGCCCCCGACACCAGAAGGACATGGACCCGCTTGAGCGCGTCCAGAGGAGACCATGAAGATGATCAGGGGGCTGGAGCACCTCCCTTATCTTCGACAGGCTGAGGGAGTTGGGGTTGTTGAGCCTGGAGAAGAGAAGGTTCTGGGGAGACATAGTGGCATTCCAGTACTTAAAGGGGCTACAGGAAAGATGGGAAAGGAGTCCTTATCAGGGAGTATAGTGACAGTATGAGGGGTAATGGTTTCAAGCTGAAAGAGGGTAGATGTAGATTAGGTATAAGGAAGAAATTCTTCACTGTGAGGGTGGTGAGACACTGGCACAGGTTTCCCAGAG